AATAATAAATCTAAGCAGAAGAAACACTTTTCCACATCATTACGGACCTAATATTTCGAGTACGTATACATTACCTACCAGTTCTACTCTACATCTCCAAATGGCACAACAGGTTCAGTGGCTAGAATAACGTAAAAACAACAAACCTCATGTACAAACAAGAAGTCTCACTTTAAGATAAACTGTAGGTTTGTGTCTGTGTCTCATGCAGTTTTGGTTAAAACGTGTTTTTTATTCATTCACTGAAGTTACTCACACTGAGTAGAGTATCCAGAATTTTTCTCAAGAGTAGCAATACTTTTTTCTAAAAGGTTAGTCGGGTGATTGTAACTGATTACATGTAATTAGTTACTACCCACCTCTGCTGGCCACTCACAGAAAGCCAAAGCCTAATATTCAAGCTTCTTGTTACCTCTGGTAAAAACTGAAACAGAACAATGTCTCTGTAGCTGCTACAACTTTTCACATCCGATGCACTGCTGGTGCAGTTTTTCCACTAGTTATCCTGCTTTTTGTATGGTTAAGAAATGATGAACATCATTAATAAAGGATGAAGGGTTTCTTTACTCCTATGAGGACATTTTACTAAACCTTTTAATCTGCACCACAGTGCAGGAAGGGTCCACAGACACCAACTATTCTAAACTAAAAATGCTCCCTGAAAATACAAAAACTGTGGAGGACGAGAAACATCAGTCAGACAATTGTTTCAAACCTGAAACCATCGACCTCTCTGACACAGAAACATGAGACAAAAGGGAGAGACTGGCAGAAAACAACCACAGAACTCGAGTGTTGGGTTACATTAAAGTCATCGCACTGCTGGAAAATCTCAGTGAATCACACAAAAAAAACAACAAAGCACAACAGCACTCCAGTAAAATTGGCGTTCTCAGGGAAAACCGAGAGCAGCAGCTTAAACTGAGTTGACAGTATGAGAACATTTTAGAGTGGGAGCTTTTGGGAGGCCGGGAGTGTTTTTGCAAAGCTCCTCTGAGGGAGAAAGATAATCAAAATGGAAAGACATAGTTAGTTGTATGAATAAGGTTTGAGACAAGGACTAAATGGAAATTTAACTGCAAAGTAAAAGGCAAACAGGGAACAGTGGGGAGCTACGGTAGGAGAGGAAGGAAAAGACGATATAAAGTTAATGTGTGTCCCTGAGCACAGCTGATGTTATTACCAGCATTATTAAGCTGGCAGTAAACGTCACAGCTAAAAGGCAAAAGGCATCACTCAAGCTGCCAAAACGCACACACAGGACTGAGAATCAGTAACGACTTTTGCCTCATCTTCAAACCTTTCGCTATCGCTCCGATTCAATTTATTCGTCGGCACCTTTTCTCTAAACCTCCATCCACGCTCCCATCTCTCGTCATCCTCTCAAGGCTGT